CCCCGCGCCCCCGCCACGGCCGCAGCCGCGCTCCGCCCGCCGGCACCGCGGCCACGCCGCTCCACCCGCGGCCCCGGCCGGGAAAGGAAGAGCTCGCCGAGTGTTTCTCACTCGGGAGAAGGAAGGAAGGAGGGATGGAAGAAAAAAGAAATTCGAAATGCCCAAACTTCCCTATCCCGGGCCCGCGGGGCAGAGCAGAAAGTTCAGCTGGTTCACGGTTGACATTTTCCGTCGTCCTGATTTTACAAGTGAAGCAATAGGGCAGAGTTGTGACAGCGAGGAGACCACCGGGACCTGACCACCTTCGCTCACCATCAGCACAGCTCCCTCTGAGCGTAACTTTGCTTGGGAGGGCCTCGGCGATGCTCCACAGCATCCTCTTCCTCTTGGCCACTTCTGCTGAGACCCTGGATGCCACACAGCCACCTGCTATCTCCACAGGCAGATAAAGTCTAGACACTGCAAAGTACGTGTCTAATTGAAGGCTAATTATGCCTGCTGAAGCAGGCAAAGTTGTTAATAACAGATGAGAAGACATGACATCTTTGTCAAATGTGTTCAGGATGCACAGACTCTCTTTGCTGTTCAGACACTGCTCAATTTGGCCGCAGGATTTATGTAGAACACAGGAAACAAAGCAAGAAATGGCAAATGAGATCCCAAGCAGCACAAGGGAAGTCAGGAAAGTTAAGGTTTTCAGAAGGATGAGAGCAATACAAAAGTGCAACTATTACTGAAACCATCACAATCTACACCAAAATGAAAATTGTGCTGATCTTATTACATGTTCTGCTTCTGTACATCAGACTTATTTCTGATAATCAGGAGAAAAGACAGAAGCCTCCAACCCATCCCAGGGGCACATTGACTAAGTGTAGGCAGAAAGGAGGCTCTTCTTTTGGGAGAATTGAAAACATTCCCTGGGAGGAGACAAGTTCAAAGGCTCAATATTATGTTCTCAGCCCCAGCTTGTCTCCCAGGGGCCTTTCTCCTATAGAGCTGGAGTGACAGCAGTGGCAGCAGGAAGCCACCTGAGATGGCTCTGCAAGTGCCAGAATAAATTACCTGTTTTCTCAGGATTTTGAGACCTCGCGTTCTCAGCGCAGACCAGAAAAGAAGCTGCACAGGAAAAGCTCCACATGCATTAAAGGAAGCTGAAGAACCCTCTCCTAAAGTTAGGCACTCGAGTCAGAACTGATGGGACTGAGGAGTCAGCTAAAACAGCATCCTGACTGTGTGGTTTCAAAGGGCATATTCCCACCGGGGGCTGATGATAAATCATGCCATGATAACTGCTGAAGCAGCAAGGAGACCAGAAAGGGCAGCTGGGAGACACAGGGTTAATCCGAGCAGGCAGAGGAGACCAGCCCGGCAGCACTGCAAACATTATCCTTTAGCTATCCTGCGGCTGCAGGAGCGAACCAGCAAGGAGCAGGAAGTGTCATCCTTGGTCATCTGTGCAAGGTACTCTGACATTTCAGCCAGTTGTCACAGGCACCCAGACGTGGAGCTTCACCAGAGCCTGGCTGGAGGTTCAGCCTGGCCCTGCTAACAATAAAGGGCAGAACAGCAGGCAGTGGCGTGGTCCCAGGGTACTGGAAAGGAGCATGGAGAGTCATCCCAGGCCACAGGATACTGAGGAGCAGAGTTGAAGCACATAGGTGCAGCCAAAGTAGCAACCAAGGCTGATTATTTCCCTAAAAACATTTTGAATATATTCAGAGCTGGCTGATAGTGAAGGAAGAGAAACTCCACAAAAGCAAGTTGTAGTTAAGAGTGATCAGTTCCTGAAGATTTGTTGGGATGTGGGACACCTTTGCTCCCACCCACACAGGGCACCATATCAGCTACCCTATCACAGGGCAACAACAAAGTACAGGTTCAGCCATTGCTCCTGATAGAAAGGGTGTCTCAGACAACAGCAGTGAAGCTGTGATGGCAAAAGAAAATGGTGGCTCTTGTCCAAAATGATGTCCCTGCACCTTCCCTCTGTGCTGCAGGTAGCAGCTGAACACTCACAGACAAGGCACAAGTGTCAGAACACATCAGACATAAGGGCAGCAATGAGAGGGCTGAGACTGATATGCATTCCTCCCATGGAAAATTGGGGTGCCTCAGCTGATGAAAGGGGCAATGGTCTGGCCATATCCCCACCCACCTGTTGGTACCCATACCCCACACAGGTATGACACACAGTAGAGTCCAAGAACTCTTCCCTGACCACGAGCAACAGCTGGAGCAACAGCTCCTTCTGGGCAGGATACATTCAGGAGCAGTTTCCCCATCTTCCCTGACTGTCTGAACAGTGAACACATCCCTTTGCTGCCTTCTGGCACTGATACATCTCCACTCTCTCAAAAAACCCAACATTCTTCCCCTGTGACAGCATAGGTCTTCCAGCACAGGAAGAAGGAGCTGCAAGGAGGGACTTGAGGTGGGAGACAGGGAGAGCTCAGGGATAAGAAATATTCAAACAATTTAAAAGACCAAGGGTTTGGGAGAGACAGTGCTTTGCCTGTGTGCAAAGCAGCTACTCCCTTGCAGGTATGTGGCTGTCAGAGTTCCTCCTGCTATCACAGCACCGAGGTGCTGAGAGCACAAGTCGAGTCTAGAGAGGATTTAAAGTACAAGGAAGCAAACAAAAAAACCTCTCTTCTTGTTCTAAATGTTTGTGAGCCTTTAAGCATGAGAATCTCAGCAAGAGGTTAAGCACTGCAATGCTCTGAGGCCTGAGGGTTTCTTGTGGTGGTTCCCAGCTCCCTTGGCTCCACGTGCCTAACCTGGCAGTTCAGCTCTTTTCTGAGCTGCTCCTGGATTCCTGCAAGACTGTCCCTGGAGCTCTCATGAGTGAAGAACAACCAGGCCAGCAGCACAGACTGCTCCATCTGTAGACCACTTGAAGAAAGGGGAGGGAGGCTTTTGGAGAAATTGACATGCAAAGAGGATGATTGTTGTAGTGTGCTTTTATACTTTGTTCTCCTCTGTAATTTCCCCCCTGGACTTCTTGTTTCAGAAGCACTGCTGGTCTCTCAAGTGGTCATTGATCATCTTCTCTCTGGTCTCAACTGTCTTTGTTCTCTCCCTCCTTGCAATTTTAATTCACACTATTGATTAGGTCATCTCTTATAAATGTTTGACCTACAGCGGTTGTCTCCAGGAATAGCATTTTTTATAAGACCTATTAAAACAAAAATTTTGTATTTTACTGCACCCATTCCTTCATGTCAGGGCTGCGCCAGCATCCCCACATTTCAGCTTTGCACTCAGCCATCTGGTCTCAAAGCAAATCCCATGTATTATTCCTTCTATGTATGGGACACTTCTGGCTTGAGACCTTCTTCTCCTCACCTCAGCCATTACAGCTTTGGGGGTTTGTCAAAAATAATTCTCCTGTTCAGTGAGGAATTTTTCACCTGCAAACTGCACTGCTAGGTTCACCACTAAACCATGTACCCAAGTGTCACATCTATGTGTTTTTTGTACACTTTAAGGTATGGTAATTCCACCACTTCCCTGGGCAGGCTGTTCCAATGCCTGGCCACCCTCTGAGTAAAGAATTTTTTCCCTCATATTCAATCTAAACCTGGCCTGGTACAATTGAGGCCATTTCCTCTCATCCTGTCACTTGTGACTTGGGAGAAGAGACTGATCCCCACCTTGCTACAGCCTCCTTTCAGGTACTTGCAGGGAGAGATAAGGTCCGCCCTGAGCTGCTTCTTCTCCAGGCTAAACATCCCCAGCTCCATCAGCTGCTTCTCATCAGAGTTGTGCTCCAGATCCTTTATCAGCTCTGTTGCCCTTCTCTGGACACGCTCCAGTACCTCAATGTCTTTCTTGCAGTGAGGGATCCCAAAAGTGAACACAGGATTTCAGGGGTGAGTGCTGAGAAGGGGAAAATCATTGCCTTGGTCCTGCTTGGCCACACTGTTTCTGATGCATGTCAAAAATGTACCATCTTAATGCATGTTCACTTTCTCATCTGATTCCCCCGCTCCTCAGCTGCTTTCTTTCTCCACCTTGTCATGGAAGAGTTATTGTCCCTAAAGCACTGCAAGGCACGAGCACACTGCCAGGGTGTGATCCAACACAGCTGCTTTCATAAGGACACATAATCTAAACTCCCATTCTGGTCAATGGACAAACCCCGGTATTAAGAACAACCTCATCCTAAAATACATGGTGAAAAAAATAGGCCAGGTGAATGAAGCCTTAAGACTACCTTTTGTCAGCTGCCTGACAACAAGATGACAGGCTTTGGATGCAACACAGAGATAAAGCAATGACTGCAAGAAGGATAAAAATGGAAAAGCATTTACAACAATTTACAACAATTATAGTGCTTGTCAGACTTACACCCATTCTATAAAGCACAAACTTTCCACTTCCAGAGCATGCATTACATAGCCCAGAGTACAGTTAGCGATGGTGTATTAGAAAACAACTCCAAAGTGTACCACAATCCTCAGACATAAACCAGGCAGCAGTGGTAGGTGTAGCGAAGATGAAATCCATATGATTTCAGTATATCGACCTCAGGAGACTGATGCTGGAAGACAAGGTATGGATTGGGAAACCTTATGGGTAAACCAAAGAAAATGAAAAGGAGGTCATGGGAGATTGAGGGCCAAAGGAAGCAACTTGTATTGGAAGTTTCTATTTGGTTAGAAAATAGAAGATTAAGAAACAGCTTGAAGACAGAGCACAAAATCTATATTAAAACAGGTTGTAAAAAAGCCTCATTCTTGTTAAGGAAGAGATAATGGGGTGATGGCTGGAATCTAGAAACCTACAAATCCGGTAGGTTCAAATCAAATGCAAACTGGAATCAGTCACCACTGTTCACCCACGTGAGATCACTTACCTGAAGAAAGAAGCCATTCTTCCTTTAGAGGTCAGTGAGAAGAAAAGTTTTACTTCAGATATTATCAGCATTT